TTCAAATTCCCGACGTCATCAGACCGGAAGTTACTTTTATGAGAATTTGCCCAAGATCAAATTTGATATCTTAGATTTAATTCTATCATTTGATCCATGTCGTATATCTTAGCCCAAATAACGATACTATCACAAAAATCACCTGTTGCTTCCAAATACTATGACGTCATCAAACCGGAAGTTCGGTGTTATGAATGCATACATTATTTAACTTCACAATGAACATCTACTCCGAACTTGATCAGTATATCCACTTCCCGTTTTTGACTAATGACGTTATCAACCCAGAAATAACTTGTATGTGTACATAGAATGTTCACTGAAATTTATCACACCGTTAAAAATGCAACTTTTAATCAAATAATTGTTTGTCTTGGACAGGATTTAATTTCGTGATCCTTTGCTCCTACACAAAAATATTCGTAAATTAACTGGATAGTGTTTCATAAAATAGTTTCTACCCGACCACTATGCGTTTGTAACAACAAACGCGAATCTCTAGTTGAGTGGTCGGGCACAACCCGACCACTCTTTGAATCTGTTAGAATTAATCTTTCTTTCTTTCTTTGAGTGGCCGGGTACAACCCAACCACTCTCTGTTATTGTTCTGGTAAATCTTTCTTCTTTTTTTGCGGACAATAATTCTCCGCGGGTTTTCTCCTAAACGGTCCATGATATGAACTTGTAACTTTCAATATTTATTGACCCTCATCCGAAGTGGTGCATATTACTCTGATGTCATGATGACGTCATCGGGTGTCAAATTACAAGTGATTTTAGCTGAAAAGTGGTCCAATTACTTTCACTCATAACTCTTGAACAAAGTAATCAGTGATATTTATATTCTGTAATCAGATAGACCATGAATTGAATAACATTTCCTTTTTGTACGTGAACTCACTTGACCCTTTCTTCCGGGTCAACCGGAAGGTTAAAGTTCAAAATGAGAACTTTAGCCTGAAATCAAAACAAAGCACAATTTCTTCCATACGGTTTGTGGTATGATCATAAAACCTAGTGTGGACATGAACCATGTTACGAAGATATTATATATTTTGTTATGTCATCATGACGTCATCGTGTATCAAATTACAAATGATTTAAGGGCAAATTTTGATGACATAGTTTGCGCTATATCTTTTGAACTAAATATAGTACAGTTTTTGTTTTTTTCTTGAGGTTGTAGACTATGCTGTGAGAAACATTTCTTGTCCCCGGACACAAATCCGCTTGACCTCCACTTCCAGTGTTACCAGAAGTGCAATAAAAAGCGAGTATAACTCAAAAGCGAAAGCATTTTACTACACACATACACACTATGAAAGTGTTAATTGAGGAATGCCAGACACAAAAAAAACAGCGTGATGACGTCATCTTTCGAAAGAGCGCCCCTAGCGGCATATTAAATATTGTTTGCTTTCTTTAATTTGAAAACCATCTGTTAAAATTTTACCAAATCACCCCTAATTATTCTTTGATTAACCACAGATAATTGGCAAGGTTTCAAATTCATGAAGTCATCAGACCGGAAGTTACTTCTATGAGAATTTGAAAACGATACTATTTTAAATGTAATTCTATCATTTGATTTATGTCGTATATCTTCGTAGCCCAAATAACGATATGCCTTACAATGTTCACCTTTTGCTTCCAAATACTGTGACGTCATCAAACTGGAAGTTAGGTGTTATGAATACCTAAAGTTATATTTTCCTGATTTTCATACGTTATTTAACTTCACAACGAACATTTATCCACTCCGAACCTTATCAGTATTCACTTCCCGTTTTTGCATACTGGCGTCATGAAGCCAGAAATAACTTGTATGTGTAGGCCTACATAGAATGTTGACTTAAATTCATCACACCGTTAAAGATACATTTTTTTAAACCAAATAAATGATTGTACTTAAAAGGATTTAATTTCGTGATCCTTTGTTCTTACATAAATTTATTCAAAACTCGACTAGGTATTGTTGAATGAACAAATTGCCTGCCCGACCACTCTGCGTTTTGTAACAACAAACGCAAACCTCTAGTTGAGTGGTCGGGCACAACCCGAACACTCTCTATTATTGTTACGATTAATCTTCATTTTTTTGGATGACGTCATCGGGTGTCAAATTACAGGCAATTTTCGTTGAAAAAGTGATATTCTTTCACCTATAACTCTTGAACAAAACGATCAATTGTTTTCCAACCTTGTAATCAGATAGACCATTAATATATAAACATATGTTTGTCGTGTACGTTAACTCGCTTGACCTTTACTTCCGGGTCTACTGGAAGGTCAAAGTTAGGTCAATTCAAAACGAAGACTTTAGCCTGAAATCAAAACAAAGCAACAATTCTTCCAAACGGTTCACGGTATGATCATAAAACCTTGTGTGAACTTGTACCATGTAACGAAGATGTTGCAAATTTTGTTACGTCATCTGACGTCATCAGGTATCAAATTACAAGCGATTTAAGGGCAACTTTTGACAAAATAGTTTGCGTTATGTCTTTTGAACTAAATAGAGTATCGTGTTTGTTTTTTCGTGAGGTTGTAGACTATGCCGCAAGAAACATTTCGTGTTCCGGACACAAAACCGTATGACCTTTACTTCCGGTGTTACCCGAAGTGCAATAAAAAGCGAACATAACTTAAAAGCGGAAGCATTTTACTACACATATTAAATTAGGAAAGTGTTTAGTGAGGAATATCAAACAAATAAAACAGTGTGATGACGTCATCGTTCGAAAGGGCGCTCCCTAGCGGCACATAAAATAGTGTGAGCTTTCTTTAATTTGACAACCATCCGTTCAAATTTTACCAAATCGCCCCTTGATATTCTTTGATTAACCACATATAACCAATTCAATAACTCATCTTGAATTCATGCACATTACTATGTGTTGCAACAATACATACAAGATCTTGATACTTGTTTTCATTGGAAGTGACACGAAAGTGGTAGTTTTTCAATTATTAGTAAATCCTTTCATCAATATATAAGAGGGCGCTATTTTGCTTTTGTCACACAAGGTACTCCTTGCCAAAGTTGCGTAATGAACAGTACAAAAATTAGTCCTTCAAAATTACCCACAAAACTTTTTTGGAAGAAATATTTGCCACTACAATTGTCCAAATAAGCTGTTTTACATGATAAACAATAAAAAGTGGAATTTACTCCAAGAAAATAAAGAAAACTTTGACATATAATTGTATACACAAAGCTATGGAGACACTACGGTTCTGCCTTAAATGACATCACGCTGTGGCTCATGAATATGGACATTTTCATTAGCATAAAAGCTTAAATGTTGAAATTTCTTTCTTTTACTGCTACAAAGGAGGTGGAAACTTCATAGTTACATTGTACATGGCAAGAAAGCTGTTTTAAATGTATTTAGGTCATACAAATCCTATAACATGTTCCCGTTAAACTGGACAGTGTTTCACAAAATAGTTGTCTTCCCGACCACTCTGCGTTTGTAACAACAAACGCGAAAATCTAGTTCTTTCTTTCTTTCTTTCTTTTTCCGTAGAGCACGTTTCCGCGGGTTTTCTCTAAACGGTTAATGAATATGAACTTGTAACTGTTAATATAAATTGACCCTCATCCCAAGTGGTGCATATTACTCTAACGTTGCCATGACTTCATCGGGTTCTCAAATTACAAGCGATTTTAGCTGAAAAAGTGACCGATTACGTTCATCGATAACTTTTGAACAAAGTAATCAATGATGTTAGTTTTATCTAATCAGACCAATAATTGATAAACATTTTTTTGGCATGTACGTAAACTCGCTTGACCTTAACCTTCGGGTCTACCGGGAGGTCAAAATTAGGTGAATTCAAAATGAATACGTTAGCCCGAAATCAAAACAAAGCAAAATTTCTTCCGAACAGTTTACGGTACAATCACAAAAACTTGTGTGAACGTGTACCATGTTACGAAGATGTTAAACATTTTGTTACGTCATCATGACGTCATCAGGTATTAAATTACAAGCGATTTAAGGGCAAATTGTGACAAAACAGTTTGTACTATACCTTGTGAACTAAATAGAGTATCGTAATTGCTTTTTCGTGAGGTTGTAGACTATGCCGTGAGAAACATTTCTTGTTCCCGGACACAAACCGCTTGACCTTTACTGCAATGAAAACTGAATTTTACGCCAAAGCGGAAGCATTTTACTACAGACATCTATATTATGCAAGTGTTTAGTGAGAAATGCAAGTCACTAAAAAACAGTGTGATGACGCCATAATCCGAAAGGGCGCCCCCTAGCGGCACATAAAATTGTGTTTGTTTTCATTAATCTGAAGAACATCGGTTCCAATTTCATCAAATCGCCCCTTAATATTCTTTGATAAACCACAGATAAATGGCAAGGTTCAAATTCATGACGTCACCAGACCGGAAGTTACATCGATGAGCATTTGAAAATGATCATATTTTAAATTGAATTCTATCATTTGATCCATGTCGTATATCTTCTTAGCCCAAATAACGATACCATAACAATTAATGTTAACCTTTTGCTTCCAAATACTAATGACGTCATGGAACTGGAAGTTAGGTGTTATAAATACTTACAGTTATATTTTTCATATTTGCATATGTTATTTAACTTCACAAAAATCATTTATCCACTCCGAACTAAATCAGTATTCACTTCCCAGGTTTGTTTTTTAAGAATGACGCCATCAAGCCAGGAATAACTCGTATGTGTACATAAAATGTTTCCAGAAATTTAGCACACCATTAAAGATGCATTTTTCAGCAAAATAATTTATTGTGATGGAAAGGATTTAATTTCGTGATCCTTTGTTGTTACATAAACATATTCATAACTTAACTCGGCAGTGTTTCATGAACAAATTGCCTGCCCGACCACTCTGCGTTTGTAACAACAAACGCGAACCTCTAGTTAATATTGTGTTTTTCTTGTTATATTTATTGACAGATGTATGTAGTCATGTCAGACTGTGGATTTTCTGGAAATGATAGCATGTGTGAATCAACCACCATTGCGTCGACTGGATCATTTATCTATGCTGTCCTGGATAATTTAATTCAGACGATTTTTCAACATCTGAGTGCAACTGACCTGTGCCACGTGGCATCATGCTGCCGTTGGCTACGCGATGCAACCAATCAGGATTCACTCTGGCGCCATCTTTGTCAAGGCAAAGGATGGGAGCACTACGGCACCACCACAGACCTGGCCAAGATACCATCCTACGGACCCTCTGAGCAAGCAGCCGGTAATAGTGTAGCAGGGGACGACATCGTCACCTTCCAGAAAGATAGGATCGTGACGGATGACAACACAGCGGGTTTAACCGGCACTTGCAGGTGGAAAGGCGTCTACATGCGAGCTTACCATCTGGATAGAAACTGGGTTACAAATTGCTCTCATTTCAAGGAATCTTACATTGGTTTAGGAAAAAAAACCCATCGTAAACGCTTCCATTTTCATGTCGATGGGGATCTCCTGGCATTTCACGACGTTAATGGAGCCATCCAGGTCTATGACATTCGGAAGAAGGCCTTTCAGTGTGTTATTCCTTCTATGAAGTATGCGGGCGGAATCAACTTCAAAAATGGCGTAATTGTGATATCGATGTCGTACCATGGTAATGGGGTGGCCCACGCGTTTGATGCAAAGACAGGGAAGCTGCTACAAAAGATAAACGGAAACTGGGGTGGTAGTCGTGTGTCTTTGTTCTTTGATGGGGAACTGGTTATCACCTGTGCGCATACTGGAATGAGAGAAAACATTTACGTGTGGTGTGTCAAGGACGGCCAACTTCAACGCATCCTAACAATGGACCCTTCTTCAGACGGCGTCCGCGTTCGTGACATTGACTATCGGGACAAGATGGTGGCGGCTGTCTACGATGATGACTACATTCGTGTGTGGAATGCGAGGAGCGGAGAGTGTTTGCATAAACTAGAATGCCCGGGAGAAAAATCAAGAGTCACACTTGGCGAAAGTGTCATCGTTGGTTTAAGCAAAAAAGACGGCATGGCAGTGTTCGACATTAGTATTTGGAGCCGGGACACGGGAGCGTGTCAAAAGGTGATACGTGAAATACCATGGCCTATGTCTTTTTATCCAAATGCAGATGTCGTAAATAATTTTATACTTTCACGTGGTATGACAGACTCCGCACCTGACCATCAATGTTCTTCCCTGTACGTTTACAATCTACGTGGAGAATTGGTAACGGAGATGGCGAATCATATCCACGGTATGAGTAGAAACGGAAGAAATCGCGTCTTCCTTGTAGACAACGAGCCGTTTCAAGGTGAAGTGAAAACATGGAAAGAGATTACTTTCAACGTCACTCCTAATAGCTTCGTACGACTCTTTGATGTTGGTTGTAGCGAAATCAGCTGGATTGACGACATCAGAATGATCATCTATGACAGAATGGAGAGGAGATTTCTTTTTCATCATTACTGGTGAACCAGTGGTGTCACATAACTAATTAATGAACTCACATCAATAATGTCACGTGATGCCAACTTCCAGCAATTGGTTCTCTTCAATCTGCACTATATGCATATTTCTTGAAAAATATATTTTTTGAAGGTGTCGACATGTTCTGTTTAATATGGGCTAATTAACATGCAAACTCATGTATATACTGTAAATATTGAGTGCAACTGAACAATGGTTTCAAATTACAGAAGTTTCATTGTAATGTCATTTTATTCCATCAACAGGCAATGAACATGGAGGGAATTGCTTGTACCTGTATATTATAAAGAATGGGAGTAATTAAGCATCTCTTTCGTATAGTTTGACTAACAGACTTGGACACTCAAATGTATAATTGAAGGTAAAGTAAAACGAATTTTTTCCCCAATAATTAATTTACCGACAACCTATTTCGAGCATGTAACTTGATTGACACATCTTACATTAATCTGAAAGGTATTGAAAACAGGGTAATTTTAAGATGTCACCAATGTCAGTCTTGGAACTTTTACATTTGCATGAATAGGGAAGTGCTGATTCTGTAAGCAATATTCATATTCAATGACTGACCTTTATAATATCTCAACTCGTGTGGGAATGGCCTTGCTTAAAGTCCGATAAGCCATAAATAAAACTCGAGGGTCGGCCAGAAAAAAAAATAGTTTAAATATTCCAAACGATTACTTGCTACTTTGAAAGCTTTTTTTAGGACCACAATGTTGAATAGCTAGCTCTTCGCCAATCACCGAAGTATGAAGGGATTTGTATTAAGATGAACTTGCGTGCGTGACCTGACACACACACAACCAGCTAACATTCCAAAATCGATAAAAATCCGCAGAAACACAAACATCTGTTAAAATCGGAGTTTCGTCCAGTTGCAGTGTACAAACTGTAATTTATTTTATCACTACAAGATAAAATGCATTATTCGGCACAGACACACACTGTTGATCAGTCAAGTATTTTTCTTCAATCAACTGGTTGTCGCCATGGGGTGCGTGCGCGCGGTAAACAGTAGCCTACTCGGTGGGCGCGGCCAGGGAACACCTGGCCGCCCCATTTTTTTGCGGACGTGACATATTGAGGCCAGAGAAATTGTTCATATCGCTATTATGATATGGATCGCGCGCCCAAAGGGGTAAAAGAAGCAATTGATACATTGTATTAAGTCAAGTTCATTAAGTAGGCCCAGAAAGTTCACTTCGGCTTAGCTTTTCGAAGCCGCTATACATGGAAAATATTTTCTCCAAACGAATGTAATTTCCAGCAATATTTCCAAACGTAAACCTTCTAGAAGAAAATCAAAGTCTTATTACCATTTTTAACAGTGTCATTCTTGTGATATCTTTAGGGGAGCGGGCACTAGGTAGAGTCAACTAAACGTGGCGGCCATTTTGCACGAGACACTCTCCTGTGTCGTTTATTTATGATCAAGAGAGGGCGCTCTTCATTTATTAACAGTAATATGTAAACACATTACACTCCTCCCCCCTTAGTTTTGGACCCCATGGACTTTCAAGTAAAAATAAATGCAATGAGTTACTTTCCTCAGCAAAATATTTCACCATACAAAAATGAGATACATGTAAGTGTCCCTAATTAATCATTGGTCCTATAAAAGCTGAAATATTAACATGTGTCACCTTTATCCTTCCAAAATGTGTTCAAAAACCTAACTTTGCTAAATTCTTGTTTCTGGAGAATAACCAATGACCTTGGTTAAATTTATAACTACATGTACATGTATTGACTGTTTAAACACAGCATGTATTTCTGACAAAATTTTGAATAAATTTTAATACAATCACATGTAACCATGAACACTGTTTCTTTTCCTTTTTGTTTTGCGTACAGTTATGTAGTTTACAATTACCAATCGAAGCAGGGTGGTATGGTGCCACTCGGGTATGTTTGATACCGTTTCTGTCCTTACACTCTTTGAATTCAGCTGAAGTGAATTGTGGCCCATTGTCTGAGACGATGTCTTCTGGTAATCCATACGAGGAAAACAACCTCCTCAAGACATCCAGAGTTTTTGCCGTAGTTATCGTTTTCATGGGGTACACTTCGACCCACTTTGAGTGACTATCAATCAAAATCAACAATTGCTGACCTTTAAGGTCGGCGAAATCAATATGTACCCGTTGCCGAATTCGGGTAGGCCACACCCATGACTTGAGTGGAGTCGTAGGAGGAGAATTCGGACTGATAGGCACGTGGTGCAGGCGTTAACAAGGTTTTCGATGTCCTTATCCAACCTGGCCACCACAATAGCTACGTGCTAGGCTTTTCATACTACGCATGCCCATGTATTGGTTGTGGAGATCAGTTAACAATCTGTCTCTGTACTTACTTGGAATAACTACCCCTATCCCCAACAAAATACAGCCCTTATCAATTGACAATTCAGCTCTACGCCTGAAGTACGGTTTCATCTATTCATCTGGAACAAAACCTGGCCAACCATTTGCTACAAAGTCATACACTTTGGCTAACTCTGGGTCAGTTCTAGTGGCTCTACTGATATCATCTGATGTAATTGGCAACTCATATATGTATGAGAAATACTTGACCTCCTGTACATTAGAATGGTCTACCTGTCTTGGTAATCTGGATAATGCGTCTGCATTTCCATGGTCTACAGAACGCCTATACTCAATCTCATAAGTGTATGCAGACAATATGATAGCCCATCTTTGCATTCGCGCTGCGGCCAATGTCGGAATGGATGCCTGCGAATTGAAAATGGCTGTGAGTGGCTTGTGGTCTGTGACCAGAATGAATTTCCGTCCAATCAAGTATTTGTGGAACTTCTTGACTCCAAATATCAACACGAATGCTTCTCGCTCTATTTGCGCATAATTTCTCTCACTTGGTGACAGAGTACGCGAGGCGAATGCAATGGGTCTTTCTTCCCCATCTTGCATTACATGCGAAATCACAGCACCTACTCAATACGGAGAGGCGTCGCAAGCAAGACGTAATTCTCTACTTAGTCATAGTGTACCAACAAAGTGCTTTCCATGAGCTGGATTTTACTTTGCTGGAAAGCTGTCTCACAGGCAACAGTCCATTTCCACTTTACAACTTTTCGCAAGAGCTCATTCAAGGGGTGCAACAGTGTTGAAACATTTGGAATGAATTTTCCATAGTAATTAAGTAGTCCCAAATAGGACCGGAGCTCAGTGATGTTTGTGGGGCTGGGTGCCTGCTTGATCGCTTCAAGCTTCTCCACAGTTGGGTGGATACCCTCAGCATCAACTACATGCCCTAGGTACTCTACTGACGGTTTATGCCATTCACACTTTTGGCTTTTTACCCGCACATTATACCCTTCAAACGCTTCAGGACCTCATCGAGTATTTCACTATGCTTTTGTTCAGAGGGTGCAGAGATGAGGATATCATCTAGATAACAGACAACTCCCTCAATCCCCTGCAAAATCTGATCCATCACACCCAGAAATATCCCGGGTGCTGATGATACCCCAAACTGTAACCTATTGAACCGAAACAGCCCAAGGTGAGTATTTATGGCCAGGAACTTGTTGGACTCTGCATCCAACTCGAGCTGTAGGTATGCTTGTGTGAGGTCGATTTTTGTGAAAATGAAACAACTGAACACCCCAAACAAAATTAGGACACCAAAACATCAACCATTCTGGAAATATTGATGCTGAAAGACATGTAACGTTGAGATCTCTTCCTAACATCTTGCCCTTAATTATAGAAATTTGCATCAGCATAGAACCAAACAGGCACCAAAATACCGCTGTAATGGCAAAAAACATGTAAAGTAAAGCTAATCTGGACACAAAGTTGCAATTTAAAGGATTTTATTAAATAATGACCTTATTTGTTCCCTATCAATGTCCACTTATTACTAATGAACTCTAATCAAAATCAAGCTTGCTGGCTCAATTTTCGTCAAGAATCATCTCTGCCATATGTACAAAAGAGTAAAATTTCCAAAAGTGACATTGATAGCATAAACACATTAACACCATCAAGTTGCATACAAGCACTAGGTTGTCAACAAATGTGCCAAATCAACTACTGAAAAAAAATTTTTTTGCCTTACCTTAAATTATATATTATAATTCTTAAAAACAAGTATGTTATTCAAACTACAATCAAGGAAAAGCTGAATTCAGAATACAAAAAAACCCTATAAACAATTCTCTCCATTGACCATAACTATAACAACATCTGGGGAGACGCAATAACAGGTCATTTTTCATATTTGCGTTCAGTTTCGTTTCCACGTTCATTGCCTGTTGCTGAGATATATAACTGAACAGTGAAAACATTCATCAGTTTAAGTCATTTTTAGTAGCACTCGATATGTACACTATATACATGTTTGAAACGTAATTACCATGTACCCTTTGAAGTTATGCTGACAAGCAACCAACGGGCAACACAAACAGTTCAGCATCTTTTGCATGTTATCGCCCCAAATTAAACGGTACATGCGAACACTTCCAACCCGTTCACATGTCAACACATTATTTACATGCAGTGCAGTAGAGAGCCGTCTGCTGGAATCTGGCGTCACGTGACCACAACATGCAATTTGTTAAGCAAATGTCACTTGGTCTATAATATTCGTTTGCATTTGAAATGCTAATACCTGGTTAATGTACGGGCGCATATTTACGCATTCAGCAATCCCATTGAGTTTGTTCGCTTAATATTGTACAAGAGAATACATGAGTGACATAAGGTAAGCACATGCACGCAGGCACATTGGGCTACTGATGTGTGCGGAAAACGAAATCAAAACGACAAGTTTTTCAGTTTATCCAAAAATGATGCGATCGAATAATGAATTATACTCATGTACTAAACTCATATTTCCGAGTTACTTTTGTGACATTAAAACAAGATGCGAATGATCAACTACACGATGTGCTAAAATTAAAGCTGGTTACGGATGCAACGCCCAATACAAACACTTGGGTCATGATGAGATATCTACAA